AGGGAGGGTGGTGAGGGGGTGGGGGGTCAGCCACTATCAAATGCGGAAGTCCATCCAGCAGCCTTGTTGTTAGGAGCACGTGCTCTCACCAGCTAAGCCATCCTGCCACAAGCTGCCAATAAGCTCTGGCACGGCTCACAGGCCCATGTGGGAATCCAACCAGTGATCCTGTTGCTCAGAGCTCACACTCAACCAACTGAACCACCCGGCCGCCCCAGCAATCATGTTTTTTATTACCCAAAAAAGCTCATGTTCTTAGGATGCCTTTTCTTGTCAGTCTGTTCTTGTTTTCTCTATGTGGTGTGCTCTTAAGTCACTCTGCAAAGCAAATTCAAATTTTTGGAATTTTAATGTTTCCTGTGTTACTCTTATTTTCGTGTGGGCCTAGAATCAGTTTCGTTCCCATTTTGGTTGCTGATTGTCTTTATAGGTCCTCTGATTCTGTGTTGTCTGCTCACATGTAAATGCTGACATCTACATTGTATATAGTTTTGGTAGTTGATATGGGCAGGCAGCAGTTGCATAAACCACAGTTTCCACCTCCCACACCTGCAGTGAAAACGGCGCCTCGCCTCCAGATGGTGGTAGCTTACAGGTCTTACCTCGTGTGGGGGTCAGGGGTGGATTTCTCCCCAGGTACAATGGGCAAGGCTGGTCCAGCTGGCAAGAGGGCAGGATTCTGGTCCCATGAGGGTGGCAGATGACTTAAAAAATTTGACCCTATTGTTTAAAAATCACACACACACACACTCATAATTCACATTGTTTCACAGTTTACCAGTGGTTACTGGAAAAATTCAGCTTGTTTTTTTCTGCACAAAACCTCAGTGCCATAAATCACCCACAACTTTCTTAAGTTATAAACCACTTTATCCTTTGACATTGAGCTGGTTTAGGGCACACAGTGGAGAGCAGCACCAGAGGTGGCTTTGAACTTGGAATCTAGCCTGAATTGTCTGCCGTGGGGCCTTTGTCATTTGATCACCAAGCCTGTGGAGTCCATTCTCTCAGCCCACAGTTCTACTGTGTGGCAAGCTCTCTGTTAGGTGATAGGGTATAAATATGAACAGGTACAGCCCTGGCCCTCAGTGAGGTCACAGTCTGGTGGAGGAACCAGGTCCACAATTAACAATTAAGGCTGCAGAGTGCCACGAGGAAACCTGCTTGCCATTGTCACTGTGTGCTTTGGTAGCTGCCCTTATCATACTGTCCTCTAGCTTACATTTTTCCCTTGCTAGTAGCCCTGTTCACAGGGCTGACATCTGGTGTGTGCTCAGTCAGTTTAAGGTCAGAAGGAAGAAGGAACGCAGGCACATGAGCCAGTAATCTTAGAAAAGGCCACCTGTCCAGCCTGTGTTGGCTGGGAAAGGCAGCTTCCAAGAGGGTGTCACATAGACTGATATGTGGCAGAGGCTTTATCGAGTCCGCTGCATTTCAGGAACTGTAAGTAAAGGGTGTACATGACGGTAGGGGCTGCAAGGATGAGCTTGGGTCAGACAAGGCGGGCTTGGAGGAGTTAAGACTCTCCTACAACTTCCAGGACATAGAATATTCTCAGCTGGCTTCTTTCTCATGTAGTCTACTCGTGTTTTACCAGCAAACGTCCTATAGAACATAGTATGCATGGTATCTTATGGGGCCGTGTTGGAAACCCAATGATGGGCATGAAGGAAAGGGTGGGATGATTAGATCCTCTCTGTGCTATCCTGCTGTGATTGAAGTGGGCAACTCTGGGAGCAGCGAGACCTGTAGTTGTTTCTTTGGCTGCATTCCATAAAGAATTTGAGATTTACCACCATGCTGTTGGGTGTAAGCACTAACAGACACTGAAGCAAAGAATCTGGACCAGGGAAAAGGGAGCCCCATTGAGAAACTGAGGCCGTGGCGAAGGTGGGGGTAAGGACTAAGAATGCAGAGATGGGATGGTGGGGAGAAGGCCTGAATCTCACACTGCAAGAGCCTGCCTGACCTGGAGGTCAAGGTAGCTGCCAGCCTTTCTATCATGTGTGATGGGGACGCTGGCGAGTGTCTTCCCACCCAAGAGTAATATGAGTCTGGGATGCAGGTGGAGCTGAGACCCATGTCAGAACCCGAAGCTTGGCCGGATATGATGGAGGAATTACTCCAGGGCCATCAAAGCTTGTAGCCAGAAAGAGCTTGAATTATAGTTGAGTGGAGAAAATAAAAGACTTATCAATCAAGTTTGATAGGTGGGATGATATCATAAACTGGGAAAAGAGTTCCCAAGACCAGAAGTTGGAATAACTGGCAACAGGTCAGGGAGAGGCACGCTGGGCAGCCCAGGGGAGGGTTCCAGGGTACAGGCAGACATCG